GAGAGACCTGTGACATGTATTATCGTACTGCGTCTTCCCCACCCTATAGGGCTAGATCCTGTTAGCCTTAGGTACAGATAAAAAAAACAAGGCTCAGAGAGATAAAGTAACTTGCCTAAGATCACACAGCTATCAAGAGGCTGAGTCAGGGTCTGAACAAAGTCTGCTGGATTCCATTACTGATTCTGTTAACGCCCATTATTAATAAGCCATGTAAGTGCTATGGAAGATAAACACTAGGTCCCCTTATTTCAGATAAGGAATCTAAGGCTCAGAGAGGTCAAATGATTTGCCCAGGGCCATAAAGCTGGGAAGAGAGGCAGGATTCTAATTCAGGCTTCTTTTTTTTGATTTTTTAAAGATTTTCTTTCTCTTTTTTTTTATATTAAGGTATCATTGATATACACTCTTATGAAGGTTTCACAAGAAAAACAATGTGGTTATTACACTCACCATTATTATCAAGTCACCCCCCCCCCATACCTCATTGCTGTCACTGCCCATCAGTGTAATTCAGGCTACTCTTACCTAGAGCCCATGCCTGTAATCTTGATGCCAAAGGATGACCACACCCCCTACCAACGTCAGCCTCAGGGAGGGTGTCCTCACCTTGAACTATGATCTAAATCTCTGGACAAAGGTGTTCCTTCATATTCTGCTGGTTACAGTGCTCTAGAAATGTCACAATCTCTAGGGCTGTTATCACAATTAGGGCTGTGACTGGGTAAGGTGCCAAGGGAGGCCCTGGAAGCTCCATCCCCTCCGCAGCAACAGGACAAAAGGCTCTGGGGAACTTCCACGGAAGGCTGTCCCTCCCTGGGGGACACTTAGGGCAGGTCACCCTGGTGGGTTTCCCAGTAATGAAATAATTGCATCCTGGTGAAATCCGAGGGAGATGTCATAAAAAGGGGCAGAGGCGGCAAATGTCAGGAGAATATGGGGAGTAGATTCTTAGGGACGAGAATCTTCCAGAGCAGTGGTTCTCACCTGTCCACCAGGTGACACTTGCCGTATCTGCAGATATTTAGACATTTATAGTTGTTACAACTGAGCGGGGGGTGGGGTGGGGGTAGCTCCTGGCATCTGCTGGGTGGAGGCCAGGGATGCTACTAAACACCCTAAAATGCACAGGGCAACCCCTGTACCCTAGAACAATCTGGCCCTAAAAGTCAACCATGCCAAGGCTGAGAAACTCAGTTCTGAGCAACCTTTACTCACTCCTTCACCTCCTCCAGCCTGGCTGGCTCCTGCTGCCACTGGGCAGAGGTGCTTTGATGGGATATGTAGGGAGGGACAGGAAGGTGGCTCAGCTATACCTTAAGGTCCTTTTATGAATCAGATCATGTCACTATCCTGCTTGAAACCCTTAATGGCTTCCTATTGTTCCTATTACTCCTTCCCATGGCCGGCAGGGCCTGGCCCGGCTGACCTCCCAGCCCACTGGCTGCCTCCCCCGACTCACGCCTCTCCTGGCCACGTGGGCACGTTCTCCTTTTCTTAAACACGCAGAGCCTCGCACTCGGCAGTCCCCCCACCCCGAGTGCTCCTCCCCATCTTCCAAGTGTCCTCTGAGGGGCCTCCCACGACCACCCTATCAGAAGTAGCCACTGTCCCCCGCCCTGACCCTTGTCCTCTATCATGTTGACTGTGCTCCTCACAGCCCCATCTGCTGGAATGGAAGCCCCGCGAGGGCAGGCTCTTGGCCGGTTTTGTTCACTGTATCCTAATTGCTGAGAACAGTGGCTGGTACATTCTGAGTACGCAGTATTTTGTCTGAATTTTTAAATGAAAATTTTCCTTTGGCTGCTTTATTGTCTACTTCCCCAACTAGGATGTCTGCTCCATGGGGGCAGGACCTTATCCGTCTACCTCATTACATCCCCAGCACCCAGGACAATGGATGGCACATGACAGATTCTGAACAAATGAATGGGTTCCTCAGAGGCTGGGACCCCCCCCCACCCGCAGCCCATCCTCCCTGCTTAGGGCTGGAGAGTGCCACAACTTGTCGCATCCTAGGGAAAGCACTGTTTCTACAACAAGGGACACAGTGCAGCAGTTAAGGGCAGTTAAGAATTAAATGCTGGCTCTATTAGTACTAGCTGTGTGAAATTAGCAAGTTGCTTAATTGCTCTAAGCCTGTTTCCTCACCTGTTAAAAGGGGATAACAATAAAACATACTTGACAGGGTGGTTGGAGGATTCAGGGAGATCATGTATGAGCCTGGCACCTGGCATGCAGTAAGAGGCTAATAAATGCTGGCTGGTATTATTGCTTGGAATGATGTTCTTGGCCCATTTGCCTGTCCCACAGGACATGACCGAGACTTCCTACAAGAGACTGAAAAGCACTACTGCCCATGGCGGCAGTTCAGGGCACCTCCTTCCTTAGGACGTCACTTTTCTGCCCTTTTTGGTGACTGCCAAATGCACAGATGCTGGAAACTCACATTTGCATCCAGGAAATGGAGATACTCGCGGCCAAGGGAGCCCTCAGGCAGATTCTGCAGCTTGTCCAGATCAAGGGTGGACCGTGAGATCCGGGGACGCTCCCTGCAAGGCAGAAGGCAAGAGTTAGGTGTTGGGAGAGTGCCAGCGAAGGCAGGTGAAAGGTCCAGCTACTCCAATGGTGGGAGAGGTGGAGGGGCAGAGAGCAGCAATGGGGCCAAGTCCTAACAGAGCACCTACCACTGGTCAGGATGGTGGCAGGACTGAGGGGACCGCCATAAACTGAGGCTGTGGCTCCTGCCTATAGGGGCACATTCTCAGAGGGCAGGCCTCATATGTGAGCAGGATACTTCCAAAGGGCACTCACTACAGGGGTGGGGGCTACAGCTGGCATGTGTCATGGGAACTTAGTGAAGGTACAAAGCCCTGTGGCTAGAACTGGGCTGAGGCCACCACACTGTACTACCCAGGGATCATCATAGTGCCTATGTGAACAGCACTCATGGAGTTGGACAGTACCCAGCTTGTGCAGCCATCCAGGGCCGGGATATCAAGAAGAGCTCCCTAGGAGAACGAAATGTGACTCCAGAGAGATCAGGATCCCCAGAGAATGCTCCCAACCCCTGACGCAGAGATGGGACCTACTGCAGGATCCGGGCACCCTCTGGATCCCTCCTCATTTGGTCCCTGAGGATCTTCAGGGCACGGCACCCTGTGGTCTCCCCTAGAACTGCAACCATGTCTGAAAGGAAAGAATGGGGACGAATGGAGGCTATGATCTTAGGTCAGTCACACGGTCTGGTCTGAGCCTTAGTTTCTTACACAATGAAAAAGGGATAGTTTCTACCTCCTGATTATGAGGCTTCATGTTAAACACTTAGTGAATCACCTGGCACACAGTAAGGGTACAACATATGTATCTATAGTTATTATTATCATTACTAATCTAACACAGTGAGGTGACTCTGGTTAGCACAGTACTCCAAAGAGTTTTTAAGTCGCTTTTACATCTATTATCATGACAGAATACAACGTCCTTGTTGAGAGGTACAGGTTTTAGCATCACAGTGCCAGGTTTGAGCCCAGGTACAGTCACTATCTAGATGACCTTGTGCAAACTGCTTCACATTTCGAAGCTTCAGGGTCCTAATTTGTGAAGTGCACATAAAACCTTTCTTATACCTTTAGACATTTATAGTTGTTACAAGCAAGGGTAATGCAAGAAATAAAAAATATCATGCATATTAACTATTCAGTGCAGTTAAGCAGCCAGAACAAATGTTCAGTGAGCAGTTAGCATTATCACGTTTGTTAGTAAGAGTAACAGTACTTTCTAAACTTAGAAACCTGGGAGGGATGTAAAAAGGTAATGCAAAACCGTAAGATGTTCTGGTCTTTACATCTAGCAGACATTTATCATGTGCCAGGCACTATCCAAAATGCTGCCGACACAGTGAACAGGGTAGTCATGGTTCTTCATCTCAAAAGTTTAATTTATAGGGAGATGTTGCAACTTGATGGATATTACCATAGATGTTATAAATCACCTATTTAGTCCAGAGGTTCTCAATGTGTCTAGATGATAGAATCGGGAAGTAGCAGAAGCTCTGGTTTCTCCCTCCCCTCCCCACATTCGGCAGATCCGGACTGAGGTGGGACACAGGCACCTCCATTTTTAATGAACGTTGCGGGTGATTATGAGGTTCATCTAGGTTTGGGTACCCTGACCGGTCTATTCTCCAGTTACGCATAGGAAACCGAGGCTTTGACAGAGGTCGGGACCTGCCCGGGCTTCCGAGGCAAGGACGCGCCCGGACCCCCAGCTGCCCCGAGAGCCCCGGGCGCGGGCGGCCTTACCGTGGCGATACGGGTTGTAGAGGGCCATTCCCGCAGAGCCGGCGGCCAGCAGCGCCTTCTGCAGCGGGGAGGTGGGGATGTGCTCGGGGTAGAGCCGGCCGGCGCCAAGGCTTGCGGCTCGGAGGGGCACGTCTGCAGGGCAAGGGAAAGCTGAGGTCAAAGGAGCTGGGCGCCCCCGAGAGTCCTTCCCGCCTGCGCCACTTGCCTGCAGCCCGCCCTGCGCGGCACCGGAGCCGGCGGAGGGAGTGCAGGGTCCGGAGCGTCGGCATGGCAGCGGGCACTGTCCCACGTCCACGGGAGGAAGGGCGGAATACGGCCGACGTCCCAAACGTCTCTGGCGACGGAGCGCCGAAGTCAAAAGAACTCGATCCCCCACTGGGCTGACTACGGCGTCTTGGTAAAAGTTGAGCACGGACAGGAGAGGGCCCTACCGTTAAGTATGGGAAGGAAACCCAGACGACCTGTCTGCCTCCTATTCTACCGATACAAAACTCTCACCATTTCACCTCACCCTAGAGTCCCCAAGTAACCCCCGCTAGTTTCAGGGCTCGGCATCGGGCCCTACTTGCTGCTGCGCAGCATGTTTTACCCCGAGCACAATAAGAGAGCCTCTTCCGGCCAGGAAACATGGCGGCGCCCATGGCAAGGCCCACACTTTGGGGGCGGGGCCGTTCGGTGTTTCCGTACAGGTCCAGCTTTTCCGCGAGCCGGGGCCTCTGGCTGCAGGCATGAGACCCAGGGGCCTGGCGCGGCTGCATGGGCTCTTCGCTGCCTACAAGCCCCCCGGGTTAAAATGGAAGCACCTGCGGGATACCGTGGAATTGCAACTTCTTAAGGGTGAGTTGCCTCGGACCAGACACTGAATCCTTCTCTCTTTCTCCCGGGAATCCATCTTCTCTTCTGATCCTTCCAGCAACATGAAGTCATGTGACCTAGTCGCCTGGGTGGAGCGTTTACCTAATCAACTGTTCCATACACTCCGTTCCTGTTCGTTTCTCCCTATATTCATACAGGCAAACAGATTCAGTATTGTCATAAGCAGTTAAGAAGCAGTAATCAGAATTTGAACTCAAGCCTGTTTCTTAACTACTGCTATTCTCTTCGCTACAGCGTGGGCTTTTATCTCTTTTGCATCTCGATACTTCCCTGTCCCACCTCCTCCACGTGTCCTAACGGAATTGACAAGATGTCCTTTACCTGTGCGTGCTCAGGTGTCAATGCCGGGAAGCCGCCTGCCCCTGAACAGCGTGTTCGCTTCCTGCTGGGCCCCATGGAAGGCAGCGAAGAGAAGGAGCTGACCCTCACAGCCACCAGTGTCCCCACCCTCACCAGCCATCCGCTGGGTAAGGCACATTCAAGCAGAGGCCTGGGTATCACTTCGGAAGAAACCTCTGCCCGGAGTCAGCGTCCCAGTCAGTGCTCAGACTCCTACTGTCCCAGACTCGTGAACGGACAGAGTGCGTATGAAATACTTGACCAGGAAGTGGCAATTTTTCCTGGAAAGGGCCAGATACTGAGTATTTTAGGCTTTGTTGGCTCAGTTCTGCCATTGTAGTGCAAAAGCAGTAGGCAGTATGGAAAGCAGTGAGCCTGGCTGTGTTCCAATAAAACTTTATGGACACTGATATTTGAACTTCATATAATTTTCATATGTCAAAATATTCTCTTGATTTTTTTTTCTGAACCATTGAAAAATGAAAAGATTGAACTCGTGGGCCATCAAAAAAAACATAGGCTTAAAGATTTGGTCAGTGGACTGTAGTTTGTTGACCCCTTTACTATTCTGGGACTCCAGGTGGAAACTGACTCTCAGGCAGAGGTGCGAAGGAGGGAGTTTTAAGCTTCTAGGGAAGAGTGACTTTTTAGTCAACAAAGCTGTCCAAGAATGGAACTAAATCTGATGAGCCTCCTGGCACTAGTTGAGATTAAGCACGTGTTGGGTAGGCTGTAGGAGAACTGAGGAGCTTGATCAGGAACCTCTAAAATCCCTTTGACAGTGATATTCAGTGATGCTACAGTATAACAATGACAAGGAGGATATATCAAGGGTCTGCTGTGTTCCAGATACTGTGTTAAGCTCTCCCCAGATGCTGTCTCATTGATCTTTACCACAACCCTATGATGGGGGTCCTGTTCTCTTCTCACAAGTGAGGAAACCGAGGCTCAGTGTTGACATTAAGTAACATAGTCCAAATTCAGTAGACACCTAATCATCCCATTCCCTTCCCCTGGATTTCTCTTGATCTACAAAAGTGTAAATTCTTCTGGCTTATTCCTGCATTCACTCTTTTTTTTCCCCATCCGATTTACTGAGGTATAATTGATATATAAAAAACTACACATATATTAATGTGTGTATTTTGGAGAGTCATTCATTCATTCAATAGTTACTTCCTGAGTACCTAGTGAGTTCTGGGTTCTGGGGGTAGAACTGGGGGCCCAGGACCTGCATAAGGAGCTCACAGCCTCCACTTTATAGTCCCAAGGACTCTCCTGCAGGAGCTAAGTAGAGGACCCCAAAATCTTGATTCCCATTGTTATGCCCAGTCCACTTGAAGCCTCTCCCTGGGGGAATGTTGATAGGCAGAGAAACGAACACCTTTCTCTGGGCCTAGGGGACTGGGGAAATGGCTCTAGGCCCCTCTGTATGGTAAGGAAGCCTGCGAGTCCGATCTGACCCTGATCTGGGCTCCATGGGGCTGCATTCGAAGAGTGAGGTCTCCACACACAGCCTGAGTCATCTTTGAGGCTGATGCATTGAGAAAAGCAACCTTGTTTGTTTCTTTCCAGTATGTGGACCTGCATTCACCAGCTTGAAGGTTGGTGTGGGACACCGGCTGGATGCCCAGGCATCTGGGGTGCTTGGTAGGTGTTGTGGTAAGCCTGGGGGTGCAGTGATGAGTTTCGGGGAGGATTGGGAAGCTACCAGGAGCCCAGCCCACTACGCCCACTACCAAGCTGACAGTGATTTCCCCCCTCTGCCCTCTTCCACTGATTCCTGCCCCTGTCTGGTTGGCTAATGGAAGGAGGGAAGTCACAGTTGCCTGCTTTTATCAAGTGATTCCTGCATTTGACATGTGGTACGAAACCCTTTGTGTGCATGTATTCACTACAACAACCATATTGGGTAGATGTTTTATGACTTTATGGATGAAGAAAGTGAGGCTGCGGCTTAGGTGACTCATCCTGGGTCATGTGGCTAGTGAATGCCCCTGGTCCAGAGGGAATACTTTCATCACTCCCATGAGGTGGCCAGGCGTGTGACTCTGGCCCACTGACCAAGATCTGGATAGATGTTGCTGGAGCTGGACACATAAAGCCCTGAGTCATGAGCCATCTGTGTCCCCAGGGTCAGGCAGTGGCCACAACCTCCATGCGTGACAGTCGCACTCCCCTTGTCTCACTTCCTGGGCACGGGCAGGCAGACATGGTGTCATGCCCCCCTCCCGGTTCTTGTTCTCTAGGAGTGAATGGAGAGTCATTCTCTCAGCCAGAGGGAAAAGCAGAGCCAGGGAAGGGCTGGGAATGGCAACGCTGCCCCCGTCGCCCAGGCCCTTCCTTTGTACTGACTGCCTCTTGTGCATTGTCTCAGTCTCGACAGTACCACCCGGGTGGGATGTTATTTTTGATCCTCATTTTTCTGATGGGGAACCAGAGGCCCAAGGAAATTAAAGGACATGCTTAGAGCCACCCCAGATTTAAGTGCCAGTTAGTGTGACTGGGCCACACTGGGTTCTGAGTGCATCAGAACCCCGTGGGGAACTTGCTAAGGATCCTAGGCCCCCTGCCCACCACCAGTCAGTCATACATCGAGGTGGAGCCCCGAAATCTGCATTTTCACATATACTTTGTGGTGCTCACTTGCTTTCTGAAGAGGAAGCTCTCCTGCCTTCTTGATGGCAGCATCAGAGGTGGGAGTATTTTGATGGTGGGTGCAGGGTTTGGGGATGGTCCCCGGGAAGGGGGAACCAGGTGTGAGATCGGCCTGGGTGCCTTTCAGTGCTCGGCGTGGGACATGGATGCAGCCTCCTCACTGACATGTACAGCGCTCACCTCACCAAGGTACCGGGGCTGGGAGCAGCTGCTTATCCCCTGGTCTTTCCCTGGGGGTCACTGATGGGATTCTGATGCCGAGAGGATTCCCTGGGGAACACCTAGGCCCTCAGCAAGCACTTCTGTCTCGTTGTGTGCTAGGGAAGACAAACAATAATGTAGTGGTGGCTCTGGCATTACTACACGCCGGCCGCTCCGTGCTGAGTACTGCATTGGGCTCCCTCAGGGATGCCGCACAAATTCCCTGTAAGGTGGGATCTGTCGTTAACTCATTTTACAGATTAGAGGACTGAGGTGCAGAGAGGGCATGTTGCTTGCCCAGGGTCCTGGCTTACAAGGGCCAGAGCTGGAATTTGAACCTGGATCTGTCAGACACCAGAGCCTAATCAGGACACCACTCTTCCCTCCCCATGGCTGAGAAGTGGATGGCACTGTCCAGGCGTCAGGGAGCTTGTGTCCCAGCCGGGGCTGTGGAGTCTGGTACCAGGAGCATGTGCAGAGGTGCCACGTTAGAGAACCCACACTTCTGGTTGTTAAGAGCACAAATTCTGAAGCCAGATGGCTTCAGTTCAAAACCAGGTTTTTCCAAACCTGGGTCTTTGGGTGGCTTACTTATCATCTGTGTGCCTCCATTTCCCCGTCTCTGACGGGAATGATAGTAGGGTTACTCTGACAATGAAATCAGTGACTACGTGTAACGTGCTTAGCACACTCGCCGGCACATGTCTGTGCTCAGTGGATGTCCCTGCTGTCACCTCTCCCGTCATGAGCACCAGCATTACTTGCAGCAGAGGCAGTCGGCCGCGCAGGGCACTGTTTAGGGTGGAGAGCAGCCGGCAGGGCATGCTGGGGGGCTGGCCGGATAAGTTGGGAGGTGTGGCTGGGGTGGAGAGACCTGGAGGCATGCGTGGTCCTGGTGCTGCCATCAGCATCTCTTGCAGGCCTGCAGGCCAGGCCGCAGGGGCTCACAGTCAGGGAGGTGTGGTGCCCCTCCCTCGCAGCAGGGGGGCAGCTGGGCAGCCTGGGCTCCCTACCGGCCGCCTTGGGGAGTGGGCTGCTGGGCTGTGCCTCCCCCAGTGCTGAGGCTCAGAGCAGGGACACTGACCCTGTCCTCTCTCCATGTCCTCGCAGGATTACACAGTCCGCGGCCTCCTGGGCAAAGCCACAGAGGACTTCTGTGAGGGTGGGCCGTTGGTGGAGAAGACAACATTCGGTGAGAGCCCCGAGCAGGTGGGAGGAGCAGCTGTGGCCGCCCCGCATCAGCCTCCCCTAGTTCCTCGCCCCGGACGAGAGGCAGGCTCCTGCTCAGTTACTCTCAGATACACCAAACTCAGGCTGTCGGGGGGCTTTGGACACATCAGTCTGTCTTCCAGGAATGCCCTGTACCCTACTGTGCCTCCTCCTGTCACAGAGGTGACTGGTGTAAATGTCACCTCCCCAGGGAAGCTTCTCTATACCCCAGACCTGGGCTAGATGGACTCTCAGAGGAGTAATCAATTGGTGATAGGGATTAGCGGTGATTTAACTCCCATCTTCCTACAAGACTGTCACCCGTGAGAGCAGGGACTGTGTCGTTGCCCTCCTGTGGTCACACACAGCACAGAGCCCAGGACACAGGCTTGTTGGATGGGTGGATGATTGGGGATGGATAGGGGATGGTGGATGAGGAGGGAGGTGAGTGGAGGGTTGGATGGAGGGGTTGGGGAGGGAGATGGAGTGATGGTTGGATGGAAGGACGGATGGGTTGTTCTTCACTTATTACTCTCCCCATGTTCTAACATTTTCCATAGGGTCTATTGCATTTACTTATTTGACATGTTTTTTGAGTGCCAGCCATGTGCCAGGCACTGGAGTCATATGATGAATCAGATGGGGTCCCCAGTCTCAGTGAACTCAGTATAGTGGGGAGAGCAGACGTACCCCTACATCTTCTGGATAAGATTAAAAACACGTGGCAAAGAAACACAGTATATTTGTACGTGTAGGTGTATATCAAGCATCCAAAAAACATCTAAAGATGACTACCAAGCTGACATTTATGGTAGGGAGGAATCCAGAGTTTGGAGAAGGGAGATGCTTGGTGCTGATCTAAACTTCTTAAAGAACTTAAAAAATAATGTAAAATCAAAATAAAATTAAATGCTGGGAAAGAGACCCAGGTGCAGAGTGGCAGGAGCCAGGAGGAAGCAGTGATGTGCTCCAGGAGGGGCTTCCTGGAGGAGGCAGCATTTGCGCTGGGTTGTAAATGAGGTGGGAGGAGGCAGTGGCAGGTGCATTTCAGGTAAGACAACAGCATGAATGAAGCCAGACAGAAGGGACGAGAGGTCCAGGCCCTTCCAAGCTGGCCTGCCTTCATAACTGCACCTGTGCCCAGAGCCTTTGGAGCCAGAAATTGGCACCTGCCCCAGCTGGACCCCAAGGTCAGCCTCCTGGTGGAATCTCTGAGTGCCGCCACCCACCCCAGCCACTTGGTGAGGCCAGAAGATGGCTCCTCCCACTTCTTGCCACGTGTTTCCACATGCAGATGACATTCTCCCTTCCAGGGTCCCTGACATGGAAAATCCCAGACTGGGGCTCAGAGGACCTGTCTGAGAATATTGAGCAAGTCACACCATGGCTTTGAGCCTTATTTCCAGAAGAAAGTGGCCTCAACATGGAGTCTGTGAGCTCCTTGAAAATGTCCTCACAATGTTGAGTTCAAGTGCATCTTTCTGAGAGGGTCTTAAGATTCTCAAAGGACTCTCAACCCCCTAATTGGGAACCCTGGGACTAGTGGATGCTCCAGGATCCCCTCCGGGGCCTTCCAAGCACAGGGCGAACTGGGAGGAAGGGAGTCTCTCAGTAGACACCTGTGTGCCTACATCCCCTGGCTTTTTCAGACCATGTGACCAGAGAGAAGCTGGACCGAATCCTGGCCATGATCCAAGGATCCCATCAGAAGGCCCTGGTGATGTGAGTGGGGCCTGACTCACACCTCCCTGAAGGGACCCTCAGGGAGCTGCCGGCAGAGCAGGAAGTGCCCACGAGCTTCCTGTAGGCCCCACCTGCCCTGGGCTCCTCTTTTCAGAGCCCAGAACCAGGCACAAGAACCACTGATCCTTCCACATGCACAGTGTTTCTTTGTGCCACGGTTTTGGGCCAGCCACCCAGGGAGACCAAGGGGAACAAGAGATCCCCCCTGGCCTCCCAGGGAACATGTGGTCTAGTGGAGAGGAGAGCCCGATCCACACGGTCAGAGTTCAAAGCTGGGCTGGGGGCAGTTGGCATGTGTGTCTGTTGAAGCCAGGAAGGGCATACAATCCCCGAGCAAAGGCAGCTGGAGGGACAGGGAAGACGGAAAGCAAGTGAAAAACTTCAGGAACGTCAGCTTTCACGAGTGAAGCAGGGCCAGAGGTGAAAAGCCCGGCTCCCCAACCCCTACAACCCCTCTCCAGCTGCTTTCTGATCCCCAGGTACTCCAACGTTGACCTGCAGACGCAGGAGGCCTATGAGATGGCTGTGAGAGGCTTGATCCGGCCCATGAGCAAGTCGCCGATGCTGATAACCGGCATCCGATGCCTATACTTTGCACCGCCAGAATTCCTCTTAGGTAAGTTGCCTAAGGTGGGCTTCTGGGTTTGGGGAGTCACCACAGAATGCCCTTGCAGAGGCCTGCCTACACCAGCCCTGATCTCTGCTGGCCAAGACACCAGGGGTCCATTTCTTCAGAGCCCTGGGCCAGACGTGGCCGGTCACACAGCACACAGAACAAACGCTGCCCAATCTCCGCCAAATCTCTTTGAAACTAGACCTTAACAAGCAAAGGTTATATTGAGCAGCCCATTTCCTGAGCCACTCAGTGTTTCAAGTTGCTGTGGGCCATCGGACACCCCTCTTACCTCCCCAGTCCTGCCCACCTCAGCCCCGCAACTCCTTTCTTCTCTGTTGATCCTATTAATGAAGGCTTCTTTTCTTTTCTTTTTTCCTACTGCATCTCTTTTTTTTTATGAGTGCATAAGAAACTCATTTGACTTCAGAGGAAGGTACCCATAGATTTACCTCCACTCCTATGACTTAGAGGAACCATTTTTTGTCATTTTCGTTATTAGATGCTTTGATAGTGTGAAGGCTCCTTTTCTTGAGCACTGACCTAGACTTTCCTGATTCTCAGCACCTTATATAAATTCTCTCTTGACTCTTCACAACCACACATTTCACAGATGAGCAAACCAAGTCTTAGAGCAGTGCTTCTCGAACATTATCTTGCCCACAGATCACCTGAGGTCTTAAAAGGCAAATTCCTACTCAGCAGGTCAGGATGGGGCCTGAGATTCTGCTTGTCTAACCGACTTCCACTGCTGGGTCTTGGGCTACACTGAATAGCAAAGCCCTAGCAAATGAAGGTGTCTTGTTAAAGTTATCAGGCAGCGGACGTATCAAGGGGTGTGAATCTAGATCAGCAGACCCCAGAGGCTGTGCTGACCACCATACCTGTCCTGTGTCCATGGCAGAGGTGCAGTGCATGCATGAGACGCAGAAGCAGCTGCGAAGGCTGGTGCATGAAATCGGCTTGGAGCTGAAGAGCACGGCTGTCTGCTCCCAAGTGCGGCGTACACGCGATGGCTTCTTCACCCTGGACGATGCCCTCTTGAGGACCCAGTGGAACCTACAGAGCATCCAGAATGCCATCCAGGCTGCAGCCCCCCGGGTGGCAGTGGAACTAGAGAAGAGCTTGAGGCCAGGCCAGGCACCCAGCAGCTCACCGGTTCAGGCCAGCCCTGAGACTCCAAGAGACTGAGCCCCACCTTGAGGCTGGAGAGCTGTGCAGGGCATCGAAAGGCCAGGCAGCTGCTGTGGCAGCGGGTAGATAAAATAAGAATTGTTCATGAGTTGGAACCCATGACTGTGCAGAATCAAACTGTAGAGGACTCTTTTCTATGTGTGACATAAAACTTTGAAGCTCTAAGAGAAAAGATCAGCAAACTTGACCCAGCCAAAAAGGAAAAAACTTCTGTGTGGTGAGAAGGTGATAAACAAATACAAAAGTATTTTAAATATGTTTACAAACTAATGCCCATAATATATAAAGAGCTTTTATAAAACAATAATAAGAAAAAGATGACAAGAAAAATTGGGCAAATGACATGAATTATGTGTGTGTATGTGTGTGTGTGTGTATATATATATATATAAAATATAAAGAAATCCAAAAGACCAGTAAACCAGAAATAGTGCTTAACTTCTCTGATAATGAAAGGCATACAGATAAAAATTAGATGTCTTTTAATTGCCTTTGAAAAAAAAAATCAATGAAAAGATCCAATATTGGTGATGATGTGAGAAAATTGGCAAGGATTCTGACTCAGCAGGTCTGGAGTGGGGCCCAGAAATCCTCATTTTTGCAGTCCCTAAGGAATGTGATACCAGGGCTTTAAAAATCCCTCGAGGTCTAGTAGGTGTCGCCATTCTCTTCTGGCCTTCAGGAACAGGGCAGATGGCTCTTCAAGGGGCCTCATTAGAGGAGAGTAGCCAGCCTCCGTGGGTGGTGGGACGCGGCGGATCAGGTCTCTGGGGCTCCCTGAGTATGGCTTACACTGTAGAAGTGCATTGCCTCACAGCTCTGGAGGCTGGGAGTCCGAGAACAAGTGTCTCCAGGGTTGGGTCCTTCTGACGGCTGTCAGGGAGAACCTGTCCCCTGCACGTCCTGGTTCCTGGTGGTTTGCTGGCAATCTGGCGCTCCTTGGCTGGCAGAAGCATCAGCCTGACCTCTGCCATTATGTCGCATGCATTCTCCCTGTGTGCATGTGTGTCCAAATTTCCCCCTTTTGTAAGGACACTAGTCAGATTAAGTACACACACTTCTCAGTGTTACCTCATCTTGACCAATTGCATCTGCGATGACCCTGTTTCCAAGAAGGTCACATTCTGAGGTACCCGAGGGCCCCGACTTCAAACATAATCTTGCAGGGACACAGATCAAGCCATGACCTGGTTAGGCATTTACCCGGGCCGGCCCAGTGCTCCTCGGCACCACCAACCTGTGACCAGAGAACTCCCCCAAGGTCAGGACCCGGCTCCTCCCTCTCTCCACCACCACTGCTCGCACACCAGCTGCAGCCCCTCCATGCCTGCTGCAGGTTGCCTGGGGCAGGTGTCGCGGTTAATAACCAATCCTTTGGGAGAGCACTGGGGGTCAGACCTGCACCCAGCATCCTGTGCAGGTGGGATCAGGGTCCCCGTGGGGGGTCTAGAGGGTGGCTACCTGGGGTAGAGGAATCTAGTGGTCTCCTCCAGGGCTTTCTCCAAGCATCCCCCTTCCCTTGTCCAACTAAATTTAAGCTTTCTATTTGAGTGCACTGTCTATGGGGAGTATATACGGGTCTCATTCTAGGTTTCACGAAGTTTGGGTAGTTGATCTCAGATTTCAAAGCTAAGAGAAGTGTCTCTCAGGAGTCTGTTGAGATACGGGCTTTGGTCTACCTCACTCACCAGAGCCACGCCCTGGGTTCCTAGGATGGGATCTGTTAGTCAAGGTTCAGGAACAGAACCGACAGGATGGGGATATAAACAGAATTCGTTTAAGGGACTGGTTCACATGATCGTGAAACCTGGTAAACCCAACATCTGTAGGGCAGGGCAGCAGGCTGAAGACCCAGGGAAGAGCTGATGCTGTAGTCAAGTCCCAAGACAGTCTGAAGACAGAATTATCTCTTCCTTGGGGACCGCAGGCTTTTCTCTCTAAAGGCCTTCAACTGATTAGATAAAGCCCACCCACACTGTAGAGGGTAATCTGATAAATTTGATTTAAATGTTGATTTAATTTTTAGAAATGCCTTCATAGCAACATCTAGACTGGTGTTTGACCGAGTATGTAGTCACTGTGGCCCAGCCAATCTGACGCATAAATTTCACCACCACAGGATATATTTTTCTTTTTCCTTTAGGAACATGACAGAGGCTCCCTGTGCAAACTGAAATGGTCCAAGGGGTGCTGTGGGATTGATCCCCCTGGGTTTGAATCCTGGCCCTGCCCTTTCCTCAGTGTGTGACCTAGACTAGTAACCCCACACCGGCAAGTCTCAGTTGGCCTTGCCTGTTAGGTGGAAGTGGTGACAACGGTGCCTGCCTCATGCAGGGACCAGATGAGCCCAGGGTCCCAAGAATGATGCTTACAGAGGGCTTCCCTTGGGTCAGGTCCTGAGCTAAGAGCAAGTAACAGACCTGATCTCGTTTAATCCTTAAACAGCCTGGGCGAGGGTTTAGGACCTTGGCTATCCTTGACCTACAAATGACATGCCCAAGGACACCCAGAAAGGAGTTCAGAGCCAGCTGTCCAGAGCCAGCCTTCCTAACCACTGCACCCTCCTGCCTCCCCACTGGAGCTATTCTGCTTTTGCGGTGGTGCTTTACTCACCCAGTCCCAGGCCTGGCATGCAGTAGGTGCTTAACAAATTTCTGTTTAATGAATTGAATACCTGTTGTGCTACTGTGGTATAAGAAATATATATATATTGGTCTTCCTCCCCAGTGCCTGGCCAGAGTGCCTAAAACCCTTGTAATTTCCTAAGTGATCAAGGTAAAAGGAGTATCTTTCGTTATGATATATTTTTAAAATTTTGGTATCATTAATATACAATTACATGAGCAACATTTTGGTTACTAGATTCCCCCCATTATCAAGTCCCCCCCACATACCCCATTATAGTCACTGTCCATCAGTGTAGTAAGATGCTGTAGAATCACTACTTGTCTTCTCTGTGCGATACTGCCTTCCCCGTGCCTCCCCTACCCCCACTACATTATGTGTCCTCATCATAATGCCCCTTTTTCCCCTTATCCCTCCCTTCCCACCCATCCTCCCTAGTCCCTTTCCCTTTGGTAACTGTTAGTCCATTCTTGGGTTCAGTAAGTCTGTTGCTGTTTTGTTCCTTCAGGTTTTGCTTTGTTCTATACTCCACAGATGAGTGAAATCATTTGGTACTTGTCTTTCTCCACCTGGCTTATTTCACTGAGCATAATACCCTCTAGCCCCATCCATGTTGCTGCAAATGGTAGGATTTGTTTTCTTCTTGTGGCTGAATAGTATTCCATTGTGTATATGTACCACAGCTTCTTTATCCATTCATCTGCTGATGGACACTTAGGTTGCTTCCATTTCTTGGCTATTGTGAATAGTGCTGCGATTAACATAGGGGTGCATATGTCTTTTTCAAACTGGGCTCCTGCATTCTTAGGGTAAATTCCTAGGAGTGGAATTCCTGGGTCAAATGATATTTCTATTTTGAGTTTTTTGAGGAACCTCATACTGCTTTCCACAGTGGTTGAACTGATTTACATTCCCACCAGCAGTGTAGGAGGGTTCCCCTTTCTCCACATCCTCGCCAGCATTTGTTGTTGTTTGTCTTTTGGATGGTGGCCATCCTAACTGGTGTGAGGTGATATCTCATTGTGGTTTTAATTTGCATTTCTCTGATGACTAGCTATGTGGAGCATCTTTTCATGTGCCTGTTGGCCATCTGAATTTCTTCTTTGGAGAAGTGTCTGTTCAGATCCTCTGCCCATTTTTTAATTGGATTATTAGCTTTTTGTTTGTTGAGGTGCGTGAGCTCTTTATGTATTTTGAATGTCAACCCCTTATCGGATATGTCGTTTATGAATATATTCTCCTATACTGTAGGATGCCTTTTTGTTCTGCTGATGGTGTCCTTTGTCATTATAATATTTTGTCCCCAGTTCCTGAAATAGTGCCAGAGTTACGAAGCAAGGAGCAGGTGCCTTTGTTATCCATAACAAGCCTCTTCCTATCACACCTGCCTATTTAATGGAAGCTCCATTAAAAGCCGAACATGATGGTGTCCGGAGGCCCCTGGGTTGGTGGCTAACATCAGAGGGCCGGGCAGGTGGAACACCAAAGGGCCTGGAAGCTGTGCCCCTTCCCGCTCGCCTCGCCCTGTGCATCTCAGCCGCTTGGCTGTTCCTGAGCTCCATCCTTTATAATAAACTGGTGAACATAAGTGTTTGCCTGAGTTCTGTGAGCTGTCCAAGCAAATTGTCCAACCTGAGGAAGGAGGGGGTGGTGGGAACTCCCGACTTTCAGCCAATTGGTCAGCAGTACAGGTGACAACCTGGGACTTGTGATTAGCATCTGGAATGGAACCAGTCTGGCAGGCCTGAGCCCTTATCCTCTGGGGACTGTGTAAACTCCAGGCAGTTAGCATTGGAATTGAGTCAAATGGTGGACACCCAATCCTTATCCACTGAGAACTAGAGAATTACTTGTTATGGAAAATCCTACACATGTGGTGTCAAAAGGATATGCAGAGAGGAAATCGGAGTTTTCCTTTTATCTGAATGAATAACCCCAATGGCTAATTTTTTCACAAAGTGGATTTATAATATATACAGAGTGTCACACTTGTTTCGGTCATTTATCAGTGGAGCATGTCTGTCCATCAGGTACTTGTACTCCTTCCTCCAGGCCCTGTGGAGGCGGCCGGAGATACAGGGTTCTCTCTGAGGAAAGCCTGTACCTCTTTCACCTTGGGCTGTCCCTGCCACTGAGCAGATTGGCACCATGAGGGGGGGCTGCTTCCCCAAAGATTTCAGCCACTTTATGGAGGATTCACTCAACAAATATTTATTTAGTGCCTACTATTTGCCCAATCCTGTTGCAGGCACCAGAAATACATCAGTAAGCAAGACAGCCCACACGCCAAGTGGGGAGTGGAAGGTGGCAATGTTACACGGGGCCACCTGAGAAGGGGTCATTTGGATAAAGAAGTGAAGGGAGGCGCTGAGCCAGGAAATTATCTGGAGGACGGAGCCTTCCGGGCCCAGGGAACAGCCAGTACAGTTCAAGGGGTAACTGACTTATTAAGGGACAATAATGTCCTATGTGGAGACATAGTGTCCACAGATCGGCCTGACTGAGTGTGAATGTGGATCACTTTGAGGGACACCTGAGGCCAGGGACCATGTTCTCAAAAGGTGGCCTTGGGCCTTTTCATTCTGGTTGCCTCTGAGAATCTGTGGTGGGGCTAGGGCTCTGGACGGGAGGTCAGAGGCCTCTCTGTCATCTATGCGTTTGATTTAGCCTCACAGGGTTAAGGGCCCGTGTGACGGTACTTGTGCCCACAAGGGCCCTGAGCCCTCTCGGCCTCTCTCTGAGTGCTCACCCAGTAACTTCCCCAGGAGGTAGGAATTGGCTGCCCACACTGTTTGTCTGAAAGGCTGGACTGATGCTATCACTGTCCACGATTCCCAGGCCCCAGGGCCCAGCCCAGGACCTGGGCAGGGCTGGTGGCAAGTGGGCCAGGTAACCTGAGGGAAGATGAGGATGTTGATACGAATAACAGAAGCTATCATTTCCTGATGGCTTCTGAGGTGCTGGGCTCTGGGCTGAGTTTTACACTGACCCTCTTGGCTGCTCCCACAATCACCCTGAATGAAAGGCATTGTGATTATCCCCACCTTATGGGTGAGGAAAGCTACTCAGGAGAGACATTGTACCTGGCAGAGAGCATCTGTGTCTGGATTGGACCCTGCCCCCCCCATGATTGCTGAGCAGGTAGTTGCTCAAGACCTCAGTTTACCCTGTATGCCTCCCACATCCCTGCCCCAGAGGTGAGTATAGACCCTTCTTCCCACCTCAGAGTCACTTGGGCGTGCGGCCAGGCTGAGCAAGCGCCCACTCCTCATGGACTTACTCAAGCCGCATTCACTGCCCAAGGCAGTCACCCCCTCTTCCTATTTAGCAGCTCCAGGCTTCCAGCCTCTTACGTGGCCCCTCCCTCAGGCCACGTAAGGTCCCCCAGAGAATGTAACCCCCATTTTACAGATGGGGAAACTGAGGCACCAGGGAGGTAGAGGGTAAACAGCTGGTCAAGGGTAGACTGAAGATCTGAAAATTTGATCTGGGTAGTCTGGCTCTGGAGCCGGTGTTCTTAATCTGTTTAACCAAAGCCTCCCAATATTGACGTTGGCTCAACCCCGCTGTGCTCTGGGTGTGTCCCCATTGAAATTTTCCTGCTGAGGCCTTGAAGCCAGGCGAGATATACATGATCCAATCCCATCAGAGAGCTGTGGCCCTGTCAGACTGGAAGCATATACAAATACATATTTCTGCACAGAGAAAATTCAGAATGACATCAAGCAGTTCTTGGATTAGCCGGATCCAGTCCATCGGTGAGGAAACCTGGGTGGGAACAGAGGGTATCTGCAAATCTCAATTAGTTGGAGAAATTAGTAACTGAACCCCACTGTCACACCACCCCACTTGCAGTCCTTATTGGCACAGAGATTACAGAAGAGGAGTCAGTGTGGCCTATCACGATGGGGGGCAGGGGGACCTGGTGTCCTGGCCAAAACACTTGATCAATATGCAGCCTTGGTTTGCTGAGGAAAACCGCCGCAAATCCCTTGGGATGGTGAAGTCATTTCCTTTTTTTTTTTCCCCCCTGAGGAGTGAGAAGTCTTTATTTATTTATTTAAGTCTATTTATTTAACTCTTTAAGTACACACTCAAAGAAAGGGGAGTGTGGGCAACTTCAGAGCTTAGGAGTCTCTCTTTTTTTAAATTGATACACAGTCTTCTACTAGTTTCAAGGATACAACACAGTGGTTCAACAGTTACCCATACAATTAAATCCTCACCCGCTCTACTACAGCTACTGTCTGTAAACACAGGAAGGTGTTACAGAATCATTGGCTATGTTCTCCATGCTGTACTACTAGCCCCGTGACCAACCTACATATGACTGAGAATTTTTGTCCCTTTATCGCCCTCCCCCTCCCCCACCCACCCCAGCCCCTCCTCCATGGTAACCACCAGTCCCTTCTCAGTACCTATGAGTCTACTGCTGTTTAGTTCATTCTATTTTGCTTTGTATTTATATTCCACAAATAAGTAAAATCACATGGTATTTGTCTTTCTCCACCTGGCTTATTCACTGAGCATGATAGCCTCTAGATCCATCCATGTTGTTGCAAATGGCAGGATTTCTTTTTTTATGGCTGAATAATATTCCATAGTGTGTATGTACTACATCTTCTTTATCCATTAATCTATTGATAGGTTGTTTCCCTACCTTTTCTATTATAAATAATGCAGCAATAAACATAGGAGTGGCTATATCTTTTCAAATCAGGGATTTTTTCTTCTCATAAATTCCTAGAAGTGGAATTACTGGGTCGAATGGTATTTCTATTCTTAGTTTTTTGAGGAACCTCCATACTGCTTTCCACAGTGGCTGCACCAATTGACATTCCCACCCACAGTGCAGGAGGGTGCCCATTTCTCCACATCCTCACCAACACTTGTTATTTCTTGTCTTTTGAACAGTGGCCATTCTAACTGGTGTGAGGTGATATCTCACTGTGGTTTTAATTTGCATTTCCCTGATGATTTGCGATGTGGAGCATCTTTTCACGTGGCCATCTGTATTTCTTCTTTGGAGAAGTGTCTGTTCAGCTCCTCTGCCCATTTTTTAATCAATTTATTTGTTTTTTAGGTGTTGAGGTATATGACCTCTTCATGTATTTTGGATGTTAATCCTTTATCAGGTAAGTCATTCATGAATATATTCTCCCATACTGTAGTTGTCTTTTTGTTCTGCTGATAGTGTCCTTTGCTGTACAGAAGCTTTTGAGTTTGACATAGTCCCACTGGCTCATTTTTTGTTTTGTTTCCCTTTTTGTTTGTGTCCAGGAAAAAACTGCTTATGTTCAAAGGATTTTTGCTTATGTTTTCTTCTAAGAGTTTTATGGTTCATGTCTTGCATTTAGGTCTTTGACCCATTTTGAATTTATTTTTGTGTATGGATGTAGGCAGTAATCCAGTTTCATCCTCTTACATGTAGCTGTCCCAGTTTTCCCAACACCAGTTGTTGAAGAGGCTGTCTTTTCCCCACTGTATATTCATGTCTCCATTATCATATATTAATTGACCATATATGCTTGGATTTATATCTGGGCTCTCCATTCTGTTCCATTGATCTATGGGTCTGTTTTTGTGCCAGTACCATACTGTTTTGATTACTGTGGCTTTGTAGTAGAGCTTGAAATTGGGGAGCATAATACCCCCAATTTTGTTCTTCCTTCTCAGGATTGCTTTGGCTATTTGAGGTCTTTTGTGGTTCCATATGAATTTTAGAACTATTTTTCTAGTTCACTGAAAAATGCTGTTGGTATTTGATAGGGATTGCACTGAATCTGTAAATTGCTTTGGGCAGGAATAGCCATTTTGACAATATTAATTCTTCCTATCCATGAGCACGGGATAGATTTCCACTTATTGGTGTCTTCTTTAATTTCTCTCATGAGTGTCTTACAGTTTTCAGAGTATAGGTCTTTCACCTCCTTGGTTAGGTTTATTCCTAGGTATTTTATTCTTTTTGATGCAATTGTAAATGGAATTGCTTTCTTGATTTCTCAGTCGGTTAGTTCATTGTTATATATAGGAATGCAACAGGTTTTTGTGTATTAATTTTGTATCCTGTAACTTGCTGAGTCCAGTTATTAGTTCTAATAGTTTTTTGGTGGAGTCTTTAGGGTTTTCTATGTATAATATCATGTCATCTGCAAATAGGGATAGTTTCACTTCTTCCTCACAAATTTGGATGCCTTTTATCTCTTTGTGTTGTCTGATTGCCATAATTAGTATTGGTAAAATGTTTTCCTCAGTAAGTGAGTTTTACCCTAAAAAGTCTAGAATGTAAGAGTGATTGTTTAACTGTACCAAATGGGTAAGCAACATGAAATTGAGAAGTTGAGCTTTAAAATTGAAGTTAAACAATTGAGTTTATTATTCCAAGAAATAGACTCTGTTTTTAAAGCCAAAGAAAGTCTCACCAAGCTGGTTTGGAACCCAAGTTCAGCTGCTTTAAAGTCAAAACTCGAGAGACACGTGTTGGTGTGGGGAGGAAATTTGCTTTGTTGAGGAAGCAGGCAACCTGGGGGGGAAGGTGGACCAGCATCCTCCAAGGTCATCTTCAAAGTGCGGTTCAGAATGAGAGCATTTTAAAGGGGAGACAGAAGGGGACCCTGTGCGGAACCAACAGCTAATCAATGGCTTGAGGGCAGACTTGCTGGCTGGAGGAGACTATGTTCATCAAAACTGCCTTAAGGATGGAATGTCCCTATCTGTGGTTTCCAGGCTGCTCCAGGCAAAATTCCTGAAAGTGGAAAGGTCTGGTTAGAGAGCAACATGGAAGGAAAGGTTTATCTTCTTAGCTTGTTTCGAAATGGAATGAGTCAGGCTTTGTTAGCGCCTCTAACAAAAGTGCAAACAGTTCTTACTATGCAGAAACGTGCTCAGGAACACCAGCAGCTTGACCACAGGCCTTGATGCCGGTTGCCTGTCTGGATCACCAGGAGGAGGGGTACAGCCTGTGCATCTGGGCTGGGCTCTGGAGGCAGAAGGGCCTGGGTGTGAACCCCGACTCCAGTGGGTGATTTGACCTCTATGAGACAGTCCCCCCGCCTGTAAGATGGAGATTAAAATGACACCCACTTGACCATTCTCCAATTCAGTCCTCCCTTGTGTATTAATCGTGTACATCTGTGGGCCAACTACTGCCCTAGCACTGGGGACTTGGTGTCAAAGCACAGACCAGGTCCTTGGGCTCATGGAGTATACAGGGTGGGGGGAGCAGGCAAGAAAATTACAGGACAGATGGACACTTAGGGAGCCACTTTGGACCTGGCATCCAGGAGGGCCTTTGGAGGCAGTGACACATAAGCTGGGACCTGGACGCCAGAGGAACAGCCATGTAGATATCTGGGGACAGAGCTTTCTAGACAGAGGGGCACAGACACCAGGCCCTGAGGTGGTGTGGCCAGAGCAGGTGAAGGGAGAGGGCTGAGGGTGGAGACGGGGGCAAGGCCAGGGCTCCTGTGCGGCCCCGGGGAGGAGAAACCATTGGCCCATTCTGAAGTGAACCCAGCTTTCAAGGGACTTGAAGCTTATACAATTGGGGGCCCTCTGTGAAAAAGAATGAAGCTTGAACATGAAGTCATTAGCTTCCTGGTAGATCCATCTCTGCCCTGTGCATAGTAGATATCAAAGAAATAGAAGCCGAGAGTGCTTTTAAGTATCACTCTCTAGTTTCTTTTTTAAAATACTGTTTCAAGTTCACTGTTTTTGGTTCTCAGTTCTAGCCGAGTACAGCCAGTTGCCTGCCCACCACCACCATGATCCCACTGAGGTAGGCCAGAGACATGGGACAAGCATCATGACTAGTTTTCCTAAAAATACTGCAATATAAATAGTGTAGTAAGAACAGGAGGGCCTCCATCCTAAGGCTAAGGTTCCGTTTTAAAAACCAGGGAGCTAGGAGGTAAGATTCCTAACATATTCTTTGGTAATCAGCCAGCGACCTACTCTATCTTAAGGCAGGGCGAGCAGCCCTAACTGATATGTTCCCAGTGCTTGAAGGTAGCCACTATCTTGGAGAAGAACAGGATCAATAAATTCCTTGTGTTATCTTTCAGAATTGTCTAGAGGACTGACTGTGGGTGGTGACAAAATGTCTCCCACCAGAGAGAGACCTCATGAGACCACATGTCAAGCGTATGCACCCCTCCCCCTCCCTTTCACCCCATTCTTAAAAGCCTTAAAGACAGAATCCTCAGTCTTTGAGTGCACCTCCTCTCTGAGGTTGCCTCTACTTCCCTTTCTTTGAGTGTCTGCTTTTTGCCTTAAATAAGGCCTTCTCCCTGCTCAAACGTTTTGTGTTTTATCTCTGCGCTCTTCCGATGGCAAGCGTCTGTTACTTTGCAATTTCAATTTTCTAGACTGAAGCACAAGTCTTCACTCTCTCTGTTCTACTTCAGACAAGTAGAGAGAGGCTACTGAGATCTCTGATGTGGGCTTGCAAGTTCCTGTCACTTGGGTGACCCGGACAGGACTGCAGCTGTCGATTATGCTCTCTAGTAGCCTGCCTGAAAATCTCCTTTCTTGGCCTTTGGGAAGTTCTCAGAACATAATTTCACTCCATCCAGTGCTCTGTGGCCACCCCCAAATCCTGAGGTGGTAGGGGCTTAGTTCCCACGCTATGCAGATCCAAGCAGACACTGGCTGCCAGATGACCCTGGCTTTAGGAGTTGGCAAGGGATTTGCCCTATGCCAAGCAGCAGTTCAAGGAGCTTCCCTTTCTTCCCTCTGTTCTTCTTTGCACTCTACTTCCTGCACAGCTGCTGCCATTCGCTGCTATTCTCACTTTAATGATTTCCTTCCTTACCCACACTCATTCAACCTGCTCAAGAATTCCTTCTCATTCAGAGTCAAGAACCCTCCCCCGTCCAGGCTGAGGTCTCACCTAGCAGGCAGGGAGGGACCTCCCCAGATGCAGCTGCCGGGCAACATCATGATGAGGATACAGGTGGGCCCATCACCCCAAATCCCTTGTAATGTCACTTGGCAGTCAACCCTTCCCTTACCCCAGCCCTGGCAATGCTTTTTCTTCTGTTCTGATCATTTTGTCTTTTCTAGAATGTCACATGAATGGAATCACACAGTCTAGAAACTTTTGGGGCTGGCCATTTCAGCATTGTCTGTCTAAGCTGTATCCATGTTGGCTTAGTCAGCTGTAGGGCAGCCAGTGTTCCACTGAATAGACATACCACACTGTTTACTCCTCCCCTTGTTGAAGGACTTCTTAGCAGTTTTTAGTGATTATGAATAAAGCTGAAGAGTTCTTTTTTTCTTGATATCAACTGTTGCCCCCTATTTCAATCAGAAGAGGACTTGTGTAAGCTCCCTCTACCACATCCGCACCTCCCTGTATCCAGAAAGAAAGAAAATCTGTCTTTCCTCCTGTAACTAAGGATAATCTCCCGGGGACGCTACCCAAGGCCAATCCTCTATAGCCATACCTTGGAAATATTGAGGGTTCAATCTCAGACACCACTATAAAGCAAATATCACAATATAGTAAGTTCAATGAAGTTTTTGGTTTCTCAATGCATATAAAAAGTTATGCTTACACTATACTATAGCCTATTAAGTGTGCAATAGCATTACATCTAAGAAATGTACATACCTTCATTAAAAAATATTTGCTAAAAAATGTTAAAATGAAAACTCAGTGAGTCAGAATCCTCTCGCTGGTGGAAGGTCTTGTCTCAGTGCTGATGGCTGCTGACTGATCAGGGTGGCAGTTGCTAAAGTCTGGAATGGCTGGGCAGGTTCTTAAAATAAGAAAACAGTGAAGTTTGCTACATCAATTGACCCTTCCTTTCAGGAACGATTTCTCTGTGCGTGTGATGCTGTGTGACAGCATTTTTCCCACGGTAAAACTTCTTTCAAAACTGGGGTCAGTCCTCTCAGATCCTGCAACTAAGTTTATGTAGTACTTTAAACCCTCTGTTGTCTTTTCAGCAGCCTTCACGGCATCTTCACCAGGGGCAGTTTCCATTTCAAAAGACCACTTTCTTTGCTCACCATAAGAAGCAACCCCTCCACAGTTCAAGTTTTACCTTGAGATTGTAGCAATTCGGTCACTTCCTTAGGCCCCACCTCTAATTATAGCTCTCTTGCTATTTCCTCCACACCTACAGTTATTCCTCCACTGAAGGCTTGAACCCCTCAAAGTTATCCATGCAGGTGGGAATCAACTTCCAAACTCTAATTTACGCTGATATTTTGACCTCTTCCCACAAATCACAAATGTCCTTAATGGCATCTGGAATGGTGAGTACTTTCCAGAAGTTTTTCAATTTATTTTGCGCAGATCCATCAGAAGAATCACTCTGTATGGCAGTTATATCCTTACAAAATGTATTTCTTAAATAATAAGACTCAAAAGTGGAAGTTACTCCTTGATCCATGAGATGCAGTATAGATGTTATATTAGCAGGTGTGAAAACAATATTAATTTTGTTGTCCGTCTCCATTAGAGCTGTTGGGTAATCAGGTGGACTGTCAATGAACAGTAATATTTTTTTTTCTTTGAGAGGGCATCTCTCATATTTATTGATCAAATGGTTGTTAACAACAATAAAATTCTGTATAGGGGAGTCAATGCTCAATGCACAATCATTGATCCACCCCAAGCCTAATTCTCGTCAGTCTCCAATCTTCTGAAGCATAATGAACAAGTTCTTACATGGAGAACAAATTCTTACATAGTGAATAAGTTCTTACATGGTGAACAGTACAAGGGCAGTCATCACAGAAACTTTCAGTTTTGATCACGCATTATGAACTATAAACAATCAGGTCAAATATGAATATTCGTTTGATTTTTATACTTGATTTATATGTGGATCCCACA